ACGTGATAAACATTCTAGAATAAGTTTTCCTTGGTGTTGTAATGTGTGCCACTAATGTCGATGTTTCGTATCTGACAATGCTATCGAGGGGGTGTACGATGGATAGCTAATTTTTTTGGAGGGGTGTATGAGCGAAAAATATAGATGGCTACACACAAGAGACAATTGTCTACAGATGTTTGCGCTCTCCTTGAAGAGGTAATATCCTACTCTTGCTACTATGATGTATTGCACCGTGTGTCAGCTCGAGGACGAACATATCACAATGGAGGTAAGTTGATTACAAGGTTAGCCACGGGAGCCATCAGAGATCACAGATTAAGTTAGGCGAGGAACCCTAGAACCCTGCATTTCACTAGTTGAGCATGTATTAAACTAGGTGTCAATTCCCAAATGGCATGTAACCGCCTTACATACCTGGTTCATTTAGGGTTCTATGGCTTGGTTCGGCTTACAAGTCGTTGCACGCCGCTAGCTCGCGCCAGACTATAGCTCGTAGGGAGCGGTGGACTGTTTCCTTGTCTATCAAGATGACGAAGGTGTCCTATATGGAAGGTGGGCCCAAATTTGGTCGTCGGCCCATGTTGGGCTGCTAGGCTGGCTTTCGGTTTCGCTGACCATATATGAGTGTCGTACTCTCATCAACTAATTCACAAAATTGTCCAACGACCCAGAATAATAAAATAGTTATTGTCATATTTCCCATGATAAATGTTTATTATTCATGCTAGAATTATATTGACCAGAAACTTAAATACATGTGTGAATATATAAACTACACCGTGTCCCTGGTAAGCCTCTACTAGACTAGCTCATTGATCAAAGATGGTTAAGGTTTCCTAACCATAGACATGAGTTGTCATTTGATAATGGGATCACATCATTAGGATGAGGATGTGATGGACAAACCCAACCGTAAGCTTAGCATCAGATTGTTTAGTTATTTGTTATAGCTTTCTTCATGTCAAGTATCTGTTCTTTAGACCATGTGATCGTGTCACCTCCACATACTACAGGAATGCTTTGCGTGTTATAAAACTTCACTTCATAACTGGGTGATCATAAGGTGATATACATGTATCTCCGAAGGTATCTGTTGGGTTGCATGGATCGAGACTGGAATATGTCACTCCGTGTGACAAAGAGATATCTCTGGGCCCTCTCGGTAATACAACATCACAAGAAGCTTCATGTGGCTAATGAGTTTAGTCATGGGATCTTGTATATTGAACGAGTAAAGAGACTTTCCGGTAACGATATTGAACTAGGTATAGACAATCTCAGGCAAGAAACATATCGCCGGACAAAGGGAATTGCATACAGACTTAACTGAATCTTCGACATTGTAGTTCAACCGACAAAGATCTTCATGAAATATGTGGGAATCAATATGGGCATGCAGGTCCCACTATTGGTTATTGACCAGAGAGGAGTCTCGGTCATGTCTGCATGTTCTAAACCTGTAGGGTCGCACGCTTAACGTTTGATAGTGTTAGGGTAGTAATGAGATATAAATAACGGAAAGTACGAAGGTTGTTCCGAGTCCCGGATGGGATCCGGGATATCACAAGGATCTTCGAAATGGTCCGCACGTAAAGATTCATACATGTGAAGTTTTATTTTGGCTACCAGAAAAGTTCGGGGGCATTGCCGGCATTGTATCGTAGTCGCCGAAGGGGTTTCAGGGATCCATCGGAGGGGTCCACCTGCCCTGGGGTTCAACATGGGCTGTAGGGGGGGCTGTCCAACATGGGCCAAGCACACCAGCCCCCAACAGGGCCATGCGGCCAAGGGAGGGAACCCTAAGTGGGGACGGCGCCGCACTTGCCTTGGAGGGCAAGGCACCCCTAGGCCGTCGCCCCCTTCCCTCACCCCTATATATAGTGGGGGATTGGGAGGGCAGGGCACCCCCTTCACCCTTGCCCTCTGTCGCTCCCAACTCCTCCCACCTTTTCTCCGGTACGCGCTTGGCAAAGCCCTGCCAGAATTCCGCTACTGCCACCACCACCATACCGTTGTGCTGGTTTCGATCTCATCTACCTCCTCTCTCTCGCTTGCTAGACCAAGAATGAGAGGACTCCATCGAGCTGAACGTGTGCTAATCTCGGAGGTGCCGTCCGTTCGGCACTAGATCATATTGGATCTTGAAGAGTACGACTACATCAACCGCGTTATGACGCTAACGCTTTCGGTTTACAAGGGTATGTAGAAACACTCCCCTCTCATTGCTTTGCATCTCCTAGATTGGATCTTGTGTGTTTTGTAGGATTTTTTTTATTTTCATGCTTCGTTCCCCATCAGGGGTTACCTCAGCATCTTGCCGTTCGACCATATTCTTTACCTATAAAGCAGGGGGAACCCTTTTCGAGATATGCTCTTCATCTCCTGCAATATCTCTCCTTTTTAGGATAAGATTTTTTTCTCCTTTCTTCTCTCACCTCGCACCCATCGAGCACCTCCCCGGATATATCTCCACAACAAATATTGAGTGCAATGCAGATCACAAAAACAAATAGTGCAACTCTTTAGTAAATTATTCATATACCTCACATAATTCACAAAAATATGTTCGTAGCGAAATAACAATTCTCCAAAAAATGTTGCACAAACCATGAAAATTGCAACATAAAGAAACAAAAGAATCATACCCATATACCTCACGAGAATTGTCCATATGGTGGAGAAATATGTTCCCTCTATACTTGCTCAAAGAATACCATCAAAAAGATTTATCCTTCCTAATAAAATATTCATGTAGCACACAGAATTGTTCACATGGTTCACAAATATGTGATGAAAAAGGTGTATCTTACAATAGTAATTCATATGGTCAACATATATGTCTTGAAATAATAGCTTTCTCAAAGAATGTAGCATTGTGTGTCGAACATGTTCACTCCCCTTATATAGTTGTGATAGTTTTGTTGTTTGAGAAAAAAATGTTTCACTTTTTTTCAAAGTGATAATATAATGTGATAACATTCAAGAATATTTTTTCAGTGAAGTTGAAATATGTGCCACTAGTTCAAAAACCGTCCGGGGTCCAAGTTAAAATTAAGACGGTGAATCTTGTTGATTTCATTGTTGAGGAAATTCTTAACGGGTAGCTGCTCGGTTAGCTGGGGAGTAGGGTGCTAATAGGCTAATCGGCAAGTTAATCAATTAATCGGTTGATTTATTTAGTTTGTCGACTGCTCGATGACCCTATGAGTAGGTATTAATTGGCAAGTTGATTGGTTAATCGGACGAATTCTTGAACATGGGTTGATATCATATTTCTATGTCACGTAATACAATATAAAACTAGTGGTTGAGGCGCCACCCTGTGGCGCCTCTTGAGAGGAATTTGTGTGCACTTTTCCATTTTTTTTAAAAAAATACATAGAGTCCTCATCCCCGTCTAAAAAGAACATCCCAGAAAAAAATTCTCACTTTTATCTAAAAAATAAGTAGAAAAAAATAGCACCGCAGCCTACTAGCGAGTGCCACTTTGCATAACCCTCCATTTAAAGAAATACATTTAAAAATAATCCACATGTTCATCTAAAAAATTTCAAAAGATTTCTCACCGCGGCCAACCAACTTGCGCCGCATGGCATAGCTGGTTGGCGGCCCTTCACGCGTAGCTTAATTGGTTTAAATGTTGTTGAAACAAAATTATAACTGCTGTTCCAGATTAAGATGAATACTAGAATTTAATAGATTGAAATTGCAAAATGTTTTTTAAGAAGTAGAAAGGGAAAGGAAAAATAAAGTAAATGAGGTCGATGGGTGCCACCGGAGAGAGGTCGACGACAGACCTGGCCAAACGGGCCGGCCCGGCACGGCACGGCACGGCCTGTGCTAATCGTGCCTGGCCCGGCACGGCCCGCCATGGCACGTTTAATAGCCGGGCCGTGCCGTGCCGGCCCACGGGCGCTGCTCCTTGGCCCAGACACGGCCTGATTAGTAAACGGGCCGGCCCGATGGCCCGTTTAGCACGCTGGGCTGCACATTTTCAGCTTGCTGGGCTGATTTTTAGGCCTATTGGACTGTATTTTAGGTATATATATATATATATATATAAATCTAAAAAATATAAAAAAAATTAAACGGGCCGTGCCGTGCCGGCCCGCGTGCCCAGGCTCCAGGCCCAGGCACGGCCCAAGGCGTGCCGCGTGCCGGGCACGGCCCGTTTAGCCCGTGTCGTGCCGGCGTGCTCGCGGGCCGGCCTGTTTAGCCCGGCCCGTTTGGCCAGCTATAGTCGAGGACCAACAGTCATAGGCAGATCGGCCAATGGCAATGGAAGCGGGTTCGAGTTGGAGATGGAATATGAAGGATGGCCGGAGGAGGTCCATGTAGTCGTTTCCTCCTGTGGCACCTGTAGACAATGACCATGAGGACCAACAGTCTACAAACCCTAGACCGAAGGCATCTGATGCGGATTAGTAGGGGGAGAGAGACTTGTATGAGATCTCACATTTAGGTGAGATCGTGAGATCAACGCCATTTTTTTTCATATTTAAACATTTTGAGAAAAAGAATCTGAAATTATTTGACAGCATCCATGTGGGTATGCCTACAACTCTGGAAAAAAAAATTCAGCTCAAAACTCAATGTACATTTAGAGATTCAAAAAAGACAAATTTTAATTTGACACTATTCACATTCGATCTTGTCTTTTTTGTTTCTATTAATGTAAGTTGAATTAGGAGCTTGAACTTTTTGAGATTGTACAAATATTGATGCATGTCTGCAAATTTTTTGACAATGTTTGAACATGTATTTTCTATCTAAAAATGAGGTGCCACACACTATATTATACACAAAAATTATCAACAGCTTATGTGAAATGTCGTACAAGGTAATCAACTGGAGAATGGGCCCGCGAGGACGGCGCTTCCAACATTTAGCTGGCCCAGTAGAAACCCTATCTTACTTTCCCTTCTTACAGCCGCCGCGCCTCCACTTCACTGTTCACTCCACTCGCCGCCGCGTCCCGACTCCACTCAATTCCGGCCATGGGCGCCATCGTCGAGAATTTCATGGACTGGCTCCCCAGCGGTGGAAATGCCGTGGCAATCGCCGCCTCCCTCTCCGCCGCCGTTGACTACGAGGGCGAGGACCGCATCAGCGCCCTCCCCGACGACCTCCTCCGCAACATCGTCTCTCGCCTCCCCGTCAGGGACGCCGCCCGAACCGCCGCCATCGCCTCTCAGTGGCTCCACCTCTGGCGCTCCACCCCGCTCGTCCTCAGCGACGTCGACCTACTCCCCTCTACGGTCGCCCGCATCCTCGCAGATCACCCGGGCCCCTTCCAAGCCATCTACATCGCCCGTTGTAGGTTCGCATCCCACGAGCGTGAGCTCGCAGAGTGGCCGCGCCTCCTCGCTGCCAAGGGCATCCAGGACCTCGTCCTCGTCAACGACGTCATCGGTTCCCAGTTCATCACCGACACCATGCTCCTCCCAGCGAACATTTTCCGCTGCGCCTCACTTCAGCGCCTCTTCTTGGGATTCTTCAGGTTCCCGGACACCGTTGGTCTCTCCCGCGGACCCGACGTCCTGCCCCATCTTCGGGAGCTCAGCATGTTCACTACAGTCATCAACACCTGGGACCTCGACTACATGCTCGCTTGCTGCCCGGTCCTGGAGAAGCTCGCGTTCGTACTCAGCAATTCGCCAGATCTCATCCACCTCCGCAGCAAAAGCCTCCAGTGTGTGCTCCTCTGGTTTTTCACGGCGGAGGAGGTCGCCGTGGTGGACGCCCCGCTCCTGGAGCGGCTCTTCTTGGTGGATCTTGCGGGCTCTCCTCAGCAGCCCCGTGACGACAGTACTATGATGATCAAGATTGCTTGTGCGCCCAGCCTGCGGGCGCTCGGCTTCTTGGAGACAAGAACTCACCGGCTGCATATCGGCGACAATGCCATCAAGGTATAATAACATTTCCAAGTATATACATAGTTAATGAGATTGCCAATGATGTATAGAGATGACATATTTGCCTTTTCGAAAAAAAGCTGCCTCTTTTGGTGCATCGTTTGGCCACTGCAGCCTGGCATACTGCCGAGCCCAAGCACAATGCTTCCGGGCGTTAAGAAATTGGCCGTTAAGGTTAATTTTGGTGTCTCAAAGGAGGTCAAGATGCTGGTGGCCTTCCTCAGATGCTTTCCCAACGTTGACACACTGCACATTGAGGTGAAATCCTAGTATCCATGCAATTATTTAGTCAGTCCGTTGGCACTCATACTGCTATTTATTAGAAATGGAAGATGATTGCTTCTTGCGCAACCCATCTCTAATGAACCATTTACTGATATCATGTTTCAGTCTTTAACTGAACCCACCGGAAGAAAACATGCCAAGTTCTGGCGGGAGCTCTCCACTGTTGAATGCATCGAGTCCCACGTCAAGAAGATGGTTGTCCATGAATATAGAGGGGATCAAAGTGAACTTCGATTCCTTAAGTTCATTTCCAGGAGAGCGGAAGTGCTACAAACTTTGTATGTTCTGCTAAACAGAGAGAGTCTTACTTCGGTGGCCAAGGTGAGAAAGATGACACGCAGATTGGTGGCTCTCTCGCGTCTAACATGGAGCGGTGACTGTCAGATAATGGTGCTAGGCCCTGAACTTCAGAATGATTGGAGCTTCCAGAAAGCATCCGATCTTACTGTCGACGACCCGTTTCACTGGTGAACTGGAGGTTGGTTATATATTTGCATGATCCAAAGCTTTTTTGGTGGTTAATCATGTACTGTTCTACATGCAAGGACACTGTTTAGTGTGTAGGCAAGTATGTCTGTTCTTGTTTCATTCAGAATGCACTGTTATGTACTCCCTCTGTAAACTAATATAAGAGCGTTTAGATTCCTACTTTAATATTCTAAACGCTCTTATATTAGTTTACGGAGGGAGTACCATCTTATCTACTGCCCCATATTTGTTCCTAATGTAAAGACCAGTATGCTCCTTCTTCCAAACATAGTGCGGCTGCTTTCTAGCATGTGTTATGTTCATTTTCTATTCCTGTGTACGATGGTGCCTATGTGAATTTGATTATCATTAGTGTACAGAGCTAGGTAGACCTTATCGTGTGCCTCACAATGATCAGGATAAGGATGAAGAAGGCTACTTAATCTAGGTGTGTTTCTGATTTCTGCATTGCAGATTCTATTGCTACATGACTTTGAATCTATTATGCATTATTTGTTCTAGTGTTTCAGTCGACCTAGGCCAGTTGTTATAGTAACACTTTGAAACAAGCTTAGGTAGAAAAAATTATCTGCCTTAGTGCTCACCAACCTTGAGTTAACCTGCATTTTAATCGTAACATTTTCTTCTTCTTTGAGAGAAATGATAAAGTTTACAGAGGGTTATAGATCCACAAAAACAATGTAGGGGGTCGAACATGATGCACACAACATTTTTTTAAGCTAGTGTACCCAGAACCGAAACAAACTTGAAAATGGAAACAGATATGCCTTTGACGCAAAATAACCAGTTCTCGTACACTTCTAATCAAACTTGCATTATTACCAAACACTGCAAGGGCTGTATCTATGGAGCAACGAGAGGAACCTCCTACCAGGCAGAAATGCTGCATGAAAAAAACATCCAACTTCGGGAGAACAAGGCTGTGCCCAGCTTTTTTTTTTTTTTTTGTAACGGGTGCCCAGCTCTTTGGATCTCTAACCTGATTGTGATTTTCTTTTTTCATTTTGCAATGCCCATGAAAAATGAAGTGAATTACGCCCTCAGGTCGTTGTGTGAACGAGAGAATGATTTAAATCTCTACCGACAGCCATTATTTCTATTTAAAGAAATAATACTAGTATATCAGACCCAGGTCGGCATTGACAATTTGGATGATAGGCGCGTGGTCATGTGACCTTGCACAACTTCAGGAGCGTGTTCATGTGGCCTTGCACATCTTGAGGTCATTACGAAGATAGACTAAGACAATAGTAGGTTTCGTTTAGAGCCAGTGTTCATGTGGCCTTGCACATATCGAGGTCATCACAAAGACAATAGTAGGTTTAGAGCCCGTGCTCATGTGGCCTTGCACATCTCGAGGACATTGTGAAGATTGATTAGACATCGACCAGGTCATCATCAAGCCAAGGACAATAATTAAGATTAAGACCTGTGAGGGGGGCCTTGCACATCACGGGGAAGAGAGAAGTCTCCGTCCAACTATAATACATAATACATTTGTATTGAGAGAGACTTAACAGGGCACCGAGATAGGAGTTGGGAGCGTAACCAACCTCATACATCATCCTCACATTTGTATCAACCCACATAGTCTTTCTCGGGAAAATGGAAAATCAAAACCACACAGTGGCCATGGATGCCAAGCTGATGGTGTCCACACACGGTGGCCATGTCAACATGTTGAAGGATGTGCTGAACAAGGAGGATGCCATGGCGACGATGCTTCCCAGTGAGGACCAATCTGGTGCCGCTGCCATCAATCCCCTGCTGCTTCTGTCAGCGCGCAGGGGCTCCTGGGAGGCCCTGAATGCCCTTCTCCAGAGGGAAGACGCAAGGGATCCACCAATGATGATTCCCACTCTTGAATTTCTTGAGTTGGTAGCGGGAGGCAGCGGCGCCCAGGGAAGAAGTGCGGCGTCTGCTGGTCGTGATGTAGAAGAGGGCGTTGACCAGCAGCCTGCTGCTTCGCCTGCAGCTGGAGCACTCCTCAAGGGCGTCACCGCCGACGGGGATACCGCACTACATGCGGTCGCCGGCAACGGCGATTGCCAGAATTTCTTGAAGTATGCCGGCATCGTCTACGACAGGGACAGGGCGCTCCTGTTTGTGCAGAATCACAAGGGTGACACACCCTTGCATTGCGCTGCCCGAGCTGGGAACTCCAAGATGGTTTCTCGTCTCATTGATCTAGCTGCGTGTGAGGGCGACGGCAGGAAGCTGGAGCTCTTGAGGATGGAAAACAAGCGTCAGGAGACGGCCCTGCACGAGGCTGTCCGATTTGAAGACGGTGGAATTCTGGGTCACAAGGAGAGATTATTGCTTGATGCCGCCGACCCCACCGGAGAAGAAAAGAATAAGCGTGGCAAGGCAGAGACAGAGGGTGCCCTAAATGAAGACGGTAAAAGTCCGGTCGCCGCACCGGAAGAACAGGCTATTGTCAAGCTGCTGATGGGCGCTGATCGCGAATTGGCTAATTATCCTGCAGGCGGCATTTCACCACTGTACCTAGCCGTCTTGCTGGAGAAGGGTACAATTGCACTGACTTTACACGCAATGAGTGGTGGCAATCTCTCCTATTCCGGAGCAGACGGACAAAATGCCTTGCATCTTAGTATTCTTCGAGATACAGGTACCCGCTAAACACTAGCAACTATTTTTGGAACTTGCGTGCCCATTTATTTTTCACCTACTCTAGCAACGGTATACCCCATTTAGTTCACTTGCTTCCTCACATTTTTTTTACCTATCTATTTTTTGACTGGTTTTAAGTTATATCGTTGCTTATCTATAAACTAGCATTGTGTACTGCGCAATTGAGCCATATATGTCTTTGATCATCTGTTGTTTGGGGGCACCGGAAAAGGTGAAATCCCAATTGCACGACCACAACATATATCTACGTGGAGCGTGCTTGTGATGTTTAAGGCGTTGATCGATTTGTTTGTCATGTAGCTGTGCATTCTCATTTGTTTTGTGGAAATACCAAAGGATGAACCTTCGCTGGGAAGGAGCTCCCAGCGAACGTCCCTACGGCCTTGTGATCGAAATCAAACAGATGACATTTTTTTTTTAAAAATTACACTGTTCACTGGCAATTTTTCTTTCCGTACATGGCCAGCCCCTAGCAAACGCATGACCTTTTTTAGTTGTTTTGGCATGGCAACTCTGACGTTTGTTGTCAATTTCTCTCACAGCAAACGATATTCACGTCCTTGTTTTGGAACAAAAAAGAGTCCGCCACAATTCAAATCCAAGCCTTATGATTTTGAAGTCAGGGTTCACCAGCTCAACAACCAGATATTTTATTTGTTCTCTGGGAATTTCTAGCATGTTACTCTGTTTTTCTTCTTGTTATGCTTTTAGTTGTTTTGGACTACTCTTTATGATCACCTTATTGTTCAACCTTCAGGTTATGTTTACCCTTCTCTTGTTAAAGATCTTTGGGTTCCTGGAACCAAAATTTGGGATAATAATTTGATTTCTTCTCTTTTCCGACAGCCTCTTGCTACTGCTATTATTCAAACTGATATTATTCAAGAGGACTGTCCGGATATACTTTGCTGGGATCTAACACCTAATGACAATTGTACTTCCAAATCCACTTATAAATTGTGCTTGCAGGACATTCATGCTAATCCTAGATCTGCTCCTTCTCAAGTTTCTTTGCAGATTAAAAATCTTCTAAAGCTGATTTGGAAGCAAAAGACAATAATTCCTAGAGTCAAGACTTTTGCTTGGAGGCTTCTCCGGGAGGCCCTTCCCACAGGTTTGAGAGCTGGCCGCTTTTCTATACATATCTCTCAATTTTGTTGCAGATGTGGACAGCAAGAAGATGAGATGCATTTGTTTTTTCTTTGCGACTTTGCTAGAGCTGCTTGGTTCTCTTCTCCTTGGTGCATTAGAACAGATGCACTAATTCAAGCCAATCCTACTATTCATAGCGTTTTACATGCTTTAATTAACATGAATAATTCCCATGCATATGTGCCTAACATTCTCAATTTTTTGTGGTGCCTATGAAAAGCTCGGAATGACCATCTTTTCAATAGGAAGAGAGCTCTTCCCTGTCAAATTCATATTGCTGCTAAAGCTCTCGATGTTGAATTGAATGATAATATGCATGTTTCTCTCCAAAATAACGTTGTTTGTGTTGTGCCTACTGTTAACCAGCTACCTGTGCATGGAAAAACAATTAAGTCTGATCTTCTGCTAACAGGACCAAGAGTTTACTCTGATGCAGCTTTCAGGTGCAAAAAAATCCCTGGTTTAACTCAAGGAATGGTGGCTACTAGTATCGGAGTCTACCTTTGTTTGCCACAAGACCCGACGGAAATCAATGTTCAGATTCAAGCGTCTTCTGCGGATACAGATTCTCCTTTGAAAGCGGAAGCTTTGGCTCTTCTTTTGGCGGCTCAAGTGGCTAATCGCCTTAATATTTCTCAGCCTACTTTCCTCACCGACTGTCTCTCTTTGGCATCGTTTGCTGCTTCTTCTAAGGCTTCTGATGTTGCCATCCCCTGGGCTATCAGGAAAATACTAGCTGAATTTTTCTTCTTCTCCTTGTGCGATTGCGGAAACGTCTCACCTCGTTGGAGGCGACAGGTTCGTGTTAAATAAGCAGGGGCGCACCTCCCTGATACAACGCATACATTGAGTTGTTACAGAGATTGAGACTTGGAGAACAAGAGATAGAATCGGTTACAACTAGGTAGAGATAAGAGAGAATCCTACTACCCAACTACCAAGCTAATCTATATCAAAACAACTCAAGGAGAGGTGCGGTCGGTGCACATTGGCACGTTACATGACATGTTTAACACCCTCCCTTAATCACAACTTCATCAAGTTGAGATTATATTTGAAGGCTTCAAAACTCCTTGTTGGCAATGGCTTTGTGAACCCATCTGCAACCTGATCTCTGGAGTGTATAAACCGAATATCAAGCTGTTTTTGAGCAACCCTTTCGCGGACAAAATGAAAATCTATCTCAATGTGTTTTGTTCTTGCATGAAACACAGGGTTGGCAGACAGATAGGTGGCACCAAGATTGTCACACCATAAACAAGGAGCTTGCTTACTTTTCACACCAAGTTCCTTAAGCATGGACTGCACCCAAATGATTTTAGCTGTGGCATTTGCTAGTGCCTTGTATTCTGCCTCTATACTTGACCTAGAAATTGTTGCTTGCTTTCTAGCACACCAGGAGATCAAGTTAGGCCCAAAAAATATTGCAAAACCACCAGTGGAACGCCTGTCATCTAGGCATCCTGCCCAATCAGAGTCAGAGAAGGCACTGACAAGTGTAGAAGATGATCTGCTGAAACTGAGACCAACACTCAAAGTATTTTTGACATATCTTACTATACGTTTCGCAACAGCCAAATGAACAGTAGTGGGTGCATGAAGGAACTGACAGACTTTATTGACAGCAAAAGAAATATCAGGCCTGGTTAGAGTGAGATATTGAAGTGCTCCTACCAAGCTTCTGTATTTTGTGCTGTCTTCTTGACTCAAGAGTGTACCTTCTGTAAGAGATAGTTTCTCTGAGCTGGATAATGGAGTGGATGTAGGTTTACAACCTTGCAGACCAGCCTTCTTGACTAGGTCAGTGGCATACTTTTCCTGAGAGAGATGAAGTCCATCCTTGTGTTTCTTCACCTCAATTCCAAGGAAATAATGCAAGTCTCCAAGATCCTTTAGAGCAAAGTCTGCCCCCAAGTCTTTCAACAGTCCTGTGATTGCTTCATCAGATGAACTTGTCATAATGATATCATCAACATATATGAGGACAAATATGCATGTGTTGGACTTGTTGTAAATAAACAGTGAGGTGTCAGACTTTGAAGGGACAAAGCCAAGAGTTTGCATTTTGTGACAAAGACGAGAATACCAAGCCCGTGGAGCTTGCTTTAGACCGTATAATGCCTTATCAAGTTTGCACACATGAGAGGGGTTGCTTTTACTTTCAAACCCAGGAGGTTGCTTCATGTACACTTCCTCTTCCAGAACACCATGGAGGAACGCGTTCGGTACGTCTAGTTGTCTGAGACTCCAGCCCCTGGAAACAACAATAGACAGGACAAGACGAATATTTGCAGCTTTTACAACTGGGCTAAACGTATCTTCGTAGTCTATACCATACCGTTGCTTGAAGCCTTTTGCAACTAGTCTAGCTTTGTATCGATCAATAGTTCCATCAGACTTTCTTTTGATTCGAAATACCCACTTGCAATCAATTAAGTTTTTACCTTGCTGTGGAGGAACCAAATGCCATGTATTATTTTTCTTTAGTGCAATAAACTCTTCATTCATTGCCTTCTGCCACCGTTCATCACCAAGAGCTTGTTCAAGTGTGTTTGGTTCACCTGGTTCGCCTGTGGAACAGATCATGCCATATTTATTTATATGCTTATAATCAACAGGTTGTATTACCCCTTCTTGAAGCCGTGTGCGACGTGGTGATGGGGTGATCTATAGATTAGCCGCAGAAGATCCTGTGGGCTGAACAGGAGTTGCCGTTGCCGATCCCGAGAGGGATTCACTGACCGTTGCAGCCGAATCTGCAGGGCTTGGATCTTCTGTGGCAGGACATGGCGTTGAATCCTCAGTAGCAGCAGATCCCGGTGAAGGAGGCAGCTCATAATTGCTGCATGGTGGCGTATCAGCCTCGTGACACGCGCGTGTCAGCCGGTCTCGTCCGTTGGATTCAGCACCAGTGCGGGGCACCATGGCCGCATCTGCTCCTGGTCCCACCTCGGTCGGGCGAACCGGGGCGTGGCGCGCGTAGCACCGCGGGTGGGCGCCGAATCGCGCGTTGCCCAGACCCGTCGCAGGGGGCCGCGTGTCAGGCGCGGATTGGAGCGGTGCGGGAGACGCGTCTCGACCGATTGAAGGCGACCGCGTGGCGCGCCCAGAGGCGGTCGGCACGGGGCAGAATCCTGGCGCGACTGGCGCGACTGGCGCGTCTACACCTGCGGATCCCGAGGAGGATCCGATCTGCCGCGCCTGCCGAACGGATCCCGAGGCGGATCTGCCTCCCGTCTCGCGACACATGAGATGTCGTTCATAGGAGGCGTTTTCTTCGCCGTTTTCGCCACTGTTTGCTTCATTGTTTTCCCTGGTTTCTCCTGTTTCATCACAAAACTCAAAGGTGCCATTAGTAAGAGGATGTATCAGTGGTTGATCATCATAGTTTAGTCCCCCTTGATCAATGCCGGAGAGGTGAGGAGAGAGGAGTAAAATTTCCTCACGAAGAAGTGCGCCGGCATTTGGATGGAGGTCAGCGAAGGGAAACTTCGTTTCATCAAAAACGACATCCCTGGAGATGTAGACGCGACCGGTGGAGACATCTAGGCATTTGACACCTTTGTGCTGAGCACTATACCCTAAGAAGACACATTGCTTGGAGCGAAACATAAGCTTGCATTTGTTGTATGGGCGAAGGTTGGGCCAACAGGCACATCCGAAGACACGAAGAGATGTGTAGTCGGGTTTTGTGTGAAGGAGACGTTCCAATGGAGTTTCATGGTTGATAACACGACTAGGAAGCATGTTAATGATATGAACGGCAGTGAGAAAAGCCTCATCCCAAAACTTGAGGGGCATGGATGCACCAGCGAGGAGGGCTAAGCCAACCTCAA